TTCACCACTACAATGGTTATAGATGTACTTAATATGTTTTTGAAAAACATAATATACTGAATATTTGTTTTATGAACCAATGCAGAGAAGAGTGCATTTGATCATGCTGCACAAAATCCACTTGCTGCATGTGTAGTATCAAAAGAAATCTCCAATAATACCCCAATAACATGTATTATTTATGTATATTAGTCCAATAGAAACCATATCATGAATAAATATCCCTGTATAACTATAATCGGTCATCTTTTATAAGGTTAAAGTAACTTTCAACTACTTTGTGGTGTTTTGAATCTACTAAAACATAACAGAGAACATAATGGTTTGATGATCCACAAAAGTCTGCCAGTGTAGCTGGCAATTAAAAACAATGGTTATATTTGGAAGTATGGAGCATAACAAATTTGCCCTAAATGTGTTTTAGATTACTCTATACAAACGTATGTGTTTGTATGTGTATGTGTGTGAATATCATATGGTCGGTAATGTTGTTTTGGGCTGTTTATGGCTCCTAACAGGGGGTTGGTCTCTAATTATCCTGGTTACAGAGGCATGGCCAACAGACTGCAGGGCACACACACTTCACAGGACGCGCACTGACCTGTCTCATGTTCGTCTGCTTGCCAGTCCAACAAACACGCGCACAAACACACAAACACACACACATACATCAACATGCACAAAATCCAAATACTTTGTTATTGAGCAGTGACCGTCTCACGCACCGTCTGTCCAGGGTGCTTTACACCCAAACTTTATTTAGTGCCATGTAACTGAACTTTGTGCTACAACTAAATGTTTAGCTCTTTTTATAACACATTTTCACTGATTCTTTCTGTTCTTACTTTGTTTTAGTGTTTTAGTTATTTTTGTTTATTTCTATAAACAAATTTTAAATGTAACACTTATTTTGAGAACAAAACCAGGTACACTTTAAATTCAAAACAATATAATTGCAGTATAATGCTTTATCTTGGAAGGACTGCAGAATCAGGGGCTAATTTGCATTTCCTCCATTTTTGTCTTCACAAGAATGTTTTCTTAGCTTTCCTTGCACAAGTATCACATTTACCATAAACCACAGAGAACTGTGACAGCAAAAACAACAACTTGGGGGGGTTGTCCGGTACGGATTAAAGTACTGGGTGAAAATCACTGCAAGCCAATGACTTAAAAAAATGCTATTGGGTGAAAATCAGTAAAAACAAAATGAAAACGATGAGCCTTAATTTACTCTGCAATCAAATTATTCTTATCACATGCAAATCCAGAAACACGCCAGGTGTGTTTACATGTATATGTACATGAACACATGTGCACACACAGACTGTGTACAGTATCTGATTTGGCCTCTCCTCTGAGCTTTCTCACCACGACCACAATTCATTAGTAATTGACCGCAGCAGCCTCACTCATTAAACATTAACAGGCTACTGGTGAATAATTGATTAATGATATGAGGCGATCTGCACCAGCATTCTGACAATAAGAGTGCATAGATGAGAGGAAGAAGAGGCCGAATCAATGCAACGCTAAGCAAAGGCCCGGACACATGACAAAGAAACACACACACACACACAGGCAAGATCACTCATTCAGTCACTCACTCACTCACTATACTCAAGTATTGACTTATAACCTCAATGGAACAAGAAGAAGACTAGACTAGGCTAGAAGAATAATGTTACCTCCTTTGTGCTCCTAAAGATTTCTATCAATCTTAGTTTTAGAGGCAATGTCAGCCTTTTCAGTTGGTTGATGCTGTATCTCATTTTAGACAGAAGCCTAACCCAATTTCTTAAAGCAAACACTTCTTCGCAGTTTCTCAGTCCCAACAGGTACTCATGGAGTGTTTTTGTGATTATTGCGGCCAGAATATTGCAGTCCTATTTGCAGCATTTTTTTTTGTGAGAAACTGTGGATGTGTTGAAAAGTTGCAAAAAAGAAAGGATGATGGAGGGTCAATATACAACCTCCACAATACAGAATTACACTCTTTTCTGATCTGATGCCCCTATCACCAGGACAATATCATTTGTCACTGCCTTCCAACACCTGTACAAATCACCTCTGCAATGCTATGGTTACGGTTTGGTAAGGCACAAAAGTGACTTGGTTAGGGTTGGGTTTATTAAAGTTAGAGGACCTCAGACATACCGTTACCAACATTAACCGTCTGTAGGAAACAGAAAGCGAATCGTGGTCCACCATGTCAAAGTCCAATATTTTATTGACCCATCTGACCAAATACATACTGTATATGCATCCCATGTTGCTGTCTTTCAGTACACCACAACCACTAATATTTCATGGCTGTCCACTCTCTACCACAAAGAAATCTGACAGACATCTTGTCTGACCCCACACACAGTGGACCTTGAGAATGTGAGAATAACATGTTAAGCCAACAAAGATACTGTCTTTCTAAATGAAAATTGCGTTTTGGTTGATTATATTAACTTTAACTTTTAGGACATAGCTGCTGATTTTGGGTGTAATGTAACATGGGAGTAATAAATCACTGCTCCCAGGTATGTACCCTATATGTACACAACTATAAGTGTCTCTTAGGATCTCCAAGGAGGTCTCTGCATGTTTAAGAACAGG